GGTGCTGACTCCCACCCCTTTCTGCTCCCCTGAGACGATGCTGACCACCCTGAGCTGCTAACTTCTGCGCCGGCGCCCCTGTTTTCATGCTTCACTTGGCGTGCTTCCCTGTTTTCTTTCCTTTTTAAAGGATTATGTTACATTTGTTACCTTAAGATGTTTTACCAGGAAAAATATTTATAAATGAGAAATTGTTACTGGTCTTAGTCTAGACTCGGTTCCTCCCCATCAGCTTCTCCACGGCTGACCCCCCTCACCCTCATCCCTCATCCCTCGGTGTCTGGCCAGGTGGGTGGAAACTACTGCCATTCTAATTGAGGCTTTTGGGAGGAATGTTGATAAACGTGAGACAGGAAGCCTCACGTTCTCTTTTAAATATAAACACTGTTTTAGAGTGACCACTGTTTCCCCCTTCCGCGTCCTGTTCTTCCTCTGGGGTTATGTTCTTGCTGCAGAGCATCTTCCCGCGTCTCCTGTGAAAGGGGTACATATGGCGAACTCCTGAGTCTTTGCCTCACATTTGAGCTGATTGAGGGGATTAGTCTTCCTTCACCCTTTGGAGAGATGGTGCCACCTGCTGTCTGCTGAGGCAGGTGGAGGTCGGTGTGTAGTTCCTGCTGCTGGAGTCCAGTAGGTAATTTACACTGTGCGGGCACTTAGGTTTCCAGAGTTTCCTTTTCTCTTTCGTGTTCCGTAGTTTCCATAGGATGTGTGTAGGTGTTGGTTTGGTTTTACTCATCTTGTCCAGAACCCTGGGTGCTCTTTTAACCTGAATACTGTTTCCTTTCATCTCCGGACCAGTTTCCATCATTATGCTTTGAAAATTGCCTTTTCTCCACCCTCCTTGGTCTCTCCCAGAGCCCATTGGAACGTTCATAAGCTCCCTGAGCTAGTGTTTTGGTGATGACAGCCCAGTGGCAGTAAGTCCACTCGCCCTGCTGTGCAGCCGTCACCCCACCCACCCATAATGTTCTCATCCTCCCAACTGAAGCTCTGCCCCATCGCTCACTCACTCTCCACCCCCACCCCCCGTTTTCTTGCAGCCACCACCTGCATTCTGTCTCCGTGAGTCTGACCACTCTAGGGGTGTCTCAGCATGTGTCTTGTGACTGGCTTTTTTCATTGAGCACAGTGTTCAAGGTTCATCCATGTGGTAGCAGGTGTCAGAGCCTCATTCCNGCGGGGAGGGAACCCACAACCCAGGTACGTTCCCTTGACTGGGAATTGGACCTGTGACTATGGTGCGCAGGCCGACACTCTAACCATTGAGCCACACTGGCCAGGGCTCCTCATTCACTTCTGACATTGTGTTTTGCTGAGCAGAAGTTTTTTGGTTTTGTGTTTTTTAAGTGAAGTGGATCCAGCTTATCCATGATTGCTTTCGTGGATGGTGCCTTTGGTGTCATATGTAAAAGGTCACTTCCAAACCGAAGGTTACCTGGGTTTTCTCCTGTGTTTCCTTCTAGTTTTATAGTTTTACACTTTACATTTAAGTCTATAAATAACCATTTGGGGTTGATTTTGTGAGGGTGTGAGGTCTGTGTCCAGATTCACTTTTCTGCCTGTGGCATCCCGTTGCTGCAGCACCATTTGTGGAAAAGACTGTCTTTGCCCCTTCGTCCAAGATCAGCTAACTGATCTGCGGGGTTCTCTGGTCTCTGTCCTGTGGCCCTGAGCTGTTGTTCTTTTNTTTTTTTTTTTTTTTTTTTTTTTTTTTTTTTTTTTTTTTTTTTTTTTTTTTTTTTTATATATCTTTATTGATTTTAGAGAGAGGAAAGGAGAGGGAGAGAAAGTGAGAAACATCAAACGCCCGGCTGGGCCTGTCTCAGCAGTTGAGCATGAGATTGGGGTTCGATTCCTGGTCAGGCCACATGCCNAAGACTGTCTTTGCCCCTTCGTCCAAGATCAGCTAACTGATCTGCGGGGTTCTCTGGTCTCTGTCCTGTGGCCCTGAGCTGTTGTTCTTTTTCCAGCACCACAGCCTTCATCACTGCACCTTCACAGTAAGTCTGGGAGCCAGGTAGTGCCCGTCAGTCCTCCGGCTTCGTCCTGATCCTTCGTACTATGTTGCCTGTTCTGGGTCTTTTGCCACCATGTAAAGCNCATCGACTGGTTACCTCCTGCACTTGCCCTAACGGGAGCGGGGAGGGAACCCACAACCCAGGTACGTTCCCTTGACTGGGAATTGGACCTGTGACTATGGTGCGCAGGCCGACACTCTAACCATTGAGCCACACTGGCCAGGGCTCCTCATTCACTTCTGACATTGTGTTTTGCTGAGCAGAAGTTTTTTGGTTTTGTGTTTTTTAAGTGAAGTGGATCCAGCTTATCCATGATTGCTTTCGTGGATGGTGCCTTTGGTGTCATATGTAAAAGGTCACTTCCAAACCGAAGGTTACCTGGGTTTTCTCCTGTGTTTCCTTCTAGTTTTATAGTTTTACACTTTACATTTAAGTCTATAAATAACCATTTGGGGTTGATTTTGTGAGGGTGTGAGGTCTGTGTCCAGATTCACTTTTCTGCCTGTGGCATCCCGTTGCTGCAGCACCATTTGTGGAAAAGACTGTCTTTGCCCCTTCGTCCAAGATCAGCTAACTGATCTGCGGGGTTCTCTGGTCTCTGTCCTGTGGCCCTGAGCTGTTGTTCTTTTTCCAGCACCACAGCCTTCATCACTGCACCTTCACAGTAAGTCTGGGAGCCAGGTAGTGCCCGTCAGTCCTCCGGCTTCGTCCTGATCCTTCGTACTATGTTGCCTGTTCTGGGTCTTTTGCCACCATGTAAAGCTTAAAACCAGCTTGTTGGTATCCACAAAATAAGTTGCTGGGGTTTTGACTGGGGCTACATTTAACCCATGGGTCACACTGGGAAGAACCGACATCTTGACCATATTGAGCTTCCTGTCCACGAACATTGGATATCTTTCCATTTATTTAGTTTTTCTTTTATCCATCAGAGTTTTATAGTTTTCCTCTTATAGGACTTGTATATATTTAGTTAGATTTGTCTCTAAGTATTTCACTTTTTTGGATGCTAATGTAAGTGGTGTTTTTAATTTCAAATTCCACTTGTTTATAGCTGATATATAGGGATGTGATTGACTTTTGTATATTAGCCTTGTATGCTGTAACTTTGTTCTAATTGCTTATTAGTTCCAGGAATTTTTTGGTTCTTTCGGTTTTTCTATATACGTGAGTGACCATGCCATCTGTGAACAAAAGATAGTTTTATTTCTTCCTTCCCAATCTATATACCTTTTGTTTCCTTTTCTTATTGCATTAGCTAGGATGGCAGAGTATTTTAAAATAAATTTTATTTGTTGATTTTAGAGAGAGAGAAACATCAATTTATTGTTCCACTTATTTATGCATTCATTGGTTGATTCTTGTATGTGCCCTGTGGATCGAACCCACAACCTTAGCGTATTGGGATTACAATCTAACCAACTGAGCTACCCGGCCAGGGCCTGTACCACACCTCCTTTATCCACTTGTGTATTGATGGGCACTTGGGTGGCTCCCATGTCTTGGCTATTATAAATAACATAGGGGTGCATAGATTCTTTAGAATTAGTGTTTTGGGTTTCTTTGGCTAAATACCCAGAAGTGGGATCACTGGGTCATAAGACAGCTCCATTTTTAATTTTTTGAGGAAACTCCATACTGTCTTCCTACAATGGCTGCACCAGTCTGCATTCCCACCAACAGTGCACGAAGGTTCCCTTTCTCCGCAGCCTCACCAACACTTGTTTGTGCATCTATTGATGGTATCCATTCTGGCAGGTGTGAGGTGCTATCTCGTGGTTTATTTGCATTTCTCTGATGATTAGTGACGTTAAGCATCATTTCATATGTCTGTTGTCCATCTGTGTGTCCTCTTTGGAGAAACACCTATTCAAAAAGTTCTCTGTCCATCTTTCAATTGGATTGTTTGTCTTTTTGGGGCTCCTCCCCCTCCTTGGCTCTCCCCCCTCCCTGGCTCTCCTCTCTCCCATGACTCCTCCCTCTATGGTTCTTTCCTGTTGGAAGTTCTGTTTCTCATACAGCTGTTGAAATGTCCTCAGGCACAAAACCAAAGGCAGGGTGTTTGCCCAGCACTGCTCCTGTCTGTCCAGAGCTGACCCTTGTTCATTCTCTATGCTGTTGGTCCCTCTCTTGTACATTAGATAGTTGTTTCTTATGTTTTTGTCTGTTGAGTCTGATGTGAGCTGGAGTAGGAACCTGCTTTGATTTACCTTTAACAAGTATGGTGTGAGTAAAAAAAGCACTCTCCTGTGTCCTGGTGTGGAATGTTCTCTAGTGCAGGTGAAGCTCACCTGGACTGGGCTGTTGCTGCTCTTTTCCTGTGTCCGCTCCTCAGCTAGGGCCCACCCCATGGTTTCTATGGAAACTACAGGCTGCAAATGGCCTAGCGCTCACTGCCGCACACAGGTGTCTCCACTTTGAGAAGGTAGGCATTTCCAGCCAGACAGTTCTTTGTTGGGAGGGCTCTCCCATGCGTGCAGGGTGTTTAGCAGCATCTTCAGCCCTTCCAGGCATTTGTCAGTAGCAGCCCCAAGTGGTGAGAATCGGGAATGTTTCCAGACAGGCTCAGTGTTCTTGGGAGAACTGCCACTGTGCATCGTGGCATCTCCAAACCTCACTCTCACCTCTCCCTGTCTGGTGCTCTGGGTGCAACCTCCTTGGAGGGGCCTCACTGGTGGCCATCATAGGGCACTCCTGGTGGATGACCTCCCCACTGGCATGGGTGCCCACGTGCACCTTGTCTGGTCACCCTTTCGGTTTGGGTGCCTTCCCTGGGGATGGTAGCTGTGTGGTGCAGACCCCACATTATGGCCATGCAGCCAGAGGGCTTCTGCGCCTGGGCCTCTCGGCCAGGTGCATGTCGCCGGTGGTGCACACTAGGGCTCCACAGCTGCCCTTGGCGAATTCATCTTCAGGTGGAAGCTATGTCAAGTTTATGGCCACTCCTGTAGTGGTCTACAGCTTGGGCCTGGGCAGGGCTGGGTGGGGATGGGGAAGGGCTGCCGGCCAGGCCCACATCAGGACTGACGCAGGCTGCTGTCTCACTTTCTAACTCTCGACATTCCCCCACTAATGGTGTACCACGCATTGGAACATCCGGTTTTAAACTTCACTGACTAGGTGACCTTGTGCACATCACAACCTCTGCCCAGGAGGCCGCCCAGATGTGATAGGCCTGGCTTTGTCGGCGGCATGTGTACTGGCGTAGGCGGGGATGTCCCTTTTGGGGCTGATGAAGTGATTGGGTGACGTGTCCACGGCCACATCGCTTGTGAGAAGTGGTGGCCCAACTTGAGTTTCTGTGCCTGACTTTTGTATTCTCTTCCTTAAAGGCTGCTCGTTTCTTTAAAGCTTTCTTATTTTGTGACTTTGTGTCATTTTTGTGGTATTAGAACTGCCTCCTGACTTAAGTCATCATACAGTACGTCATAAGTTGACTCACAAACCCACCCACTATGCAGATGCTGGCTGCTCCTCATAGGTCTTGACTGTGACGTGCCTCTTTATTTTTCTTTCCCTGATAGTGTAGTGTCCTAAGAACGGAAGCACCTGGGCTGAATGGAATTTAGCATCAAAAAAGGTCCTCTTTCCGCTCAGAAAGCTGTAAAGTACGTAAGGATGAAGCAGGCTCCGGAGATCCTGGGCAGCACCAATGGGAAGAGTCCGAGCTGCGAAGTGAGCCGCGAGTGCTCCGTGTTCCTCGGCAAAGCCCAGCTCTCTGCCACTCTGCAGGAGGGGGTCATGCAGAGATTCAACGGCCACGACACGCTTCCCTTTCTCCCGACTGAGAAGCTGAAAGACCTGACCTCACGTGTATTTAATGGAGAACCCGGTGCTCATGATGCCAAACTGCGCTTCGAGTCCCAGGAGACGAAAGGAGCTGGGACTCCGCCTAACACTACCCCCATCAAAAATGTCTCCCCGGAGATCAAGCTGAAAATCACCAAGACTTACATGAATGGGAAGCCTCTCTTTGAATCTTCCATTTGTGGAGATGGTGCTGCTGCTGTGGCCCCGTCAGAAGAAAATGGGCAGAAACCAGAAAACAAGGGGAGACGGAGCAGGAAGAGGAGCATAAGATATGACTCGTTGCTGGAGCAGGGCCTCGTGGGAACCACGCCGGGCGCCGAGGTTGAGGCCCCCCCAGGCAGGAAGGTACTCATGAGGAGTCTGGGGGAGGGGACAGCGCGGGGGGACCCTGTGAGGATGCCATGTGCAGGTGGGGATGGGCTGCCATGTGTTTGCACGGACTGCCGGGGGAGCCTGGGCCCTGGCTGCAGGGTGCGTGGCGTTGCCTCCTGTAGGCCTCAGCAGCCTGTGCAGCCAGTTATGAGACCTGAAGAGGTCAACTACGTGTTCTAGGGTAAAGAGATCAGGCCAGTTTCCTTGCCCAGTGAGGCCAGTCCAGACCTTCTTGCTATGCTGTTTCCATGGGTCTCCTCTGCAGGGACATCTGGGGCCTGGTTCGGCTCAGTGGGGGTGCCTTGGTACCTAGCGTGGGCTTCCCAGCTCTGTCCCGTCCCATCTAAGGAGTGAGCTGTGCCACGGAAATGCACCTGCCATCCCCCCCTCAGATGGCGGGGTCTTGAGGTGACTGCAGGTCCACTTGTAGGAGGGGGAGGAGGGCAGCTGAAACCAGTTTGAGTTGTCATTACCAAGGGTAGAATGTTTAGTTTAAAATTATAGCCAAGTAATTTTATTTACAATTTCTATAGATAGAGGAAATGGCCAAAATTTCCTTGAAATTGTTAAAATAATGAAGAAGTTTGAGGGTTTAAAATGTGTTCTTTGAGTGCTCAGTGGCTGTTTGGTCTCCCTAATGTGATTTTAATGGGGAATTTCTAAGAAGGCCGTTCGGTGACCTAGGCTGGTGCATAGTGTTGGGCAGTGCCGTGGTCGTGGCGATGGACATGGGAGGAGGCAGGTGTGGGCAGTTCCTAGACCGTCACTAGGTTTTGTTGAAATGAGTAATCACCTGACTTCTGACTCCATCCTTGGAGTGGGAATGCTGACGCGCATTCTCACGGGTCTGTCGTGTGCTCAGATGCCATGATGATGTGGCACTGGGTTGCTGTGCCCTGCTCTGAGGGCCAGCCCTTCTGAAAGCGTGCAACGTGCCCGCTCTGTGCCGGCCCTCGGCACCGTGCACACTGAGCTCTGGAGAGACGCTGGCACTTTGCCCAAGGACGTGGCCTCATAGGGGTCAGGGGTTCACCCTCAGGAGGAGGTCAGGGCCGCTGATTGCCGGGAGGAGGTTGCCCAGGTCAGGTCTTTAGCTTCCTGAACACCTGTGTTCCATGATGGAAAAACAGGTTCAGAGCCCAGGACTCAGGCCATGAGGGTGTAGCTGAGAGTTCCTGCCAGGCCTCCTGATGTCCTTTCCACTCTGGGTCCTATCACTGGAGGAGGCATGTGCCAAGGGGTAGTTTCTCTGTGAGCTCTTTGACCAGGTAGATAAAGCACCATTAAGACCACCCACCAGGCCAGGACATAGATGGGTTGCCCACTTTGTGATGTGGAGACTTGCCCTGTGCAGGAACAAGCTGGCTGTAGCTGAGGGCAGGAGAAGTGTGATTTCGATGGTGATGCAGGGCTGTGGTCTGAAAACAGTGGGAGGGGATGGTGGAACCTCCAGCCTGGTTAACCCTCAGTCTTCTGTAGATAGAGGGCTAGACTTCAGGGTAGTGTTGGACGTGTCAGTATATGTCTCTTTTATTTTCAGATTCCAGCTAAGAAGGAGCCCTGTCCCAGTACCGGCAGAGACAGAGACCACCTGTTGAAGTACAATGTGGGCGACTTGGTGTGGTCCAAGGTGTCGGGCTACCCGTGGTGGCCGTGCATGGTTTCTGCCGACCCGCTCCTCCACAGCTACACCAAGCTCAAAGGTACAGCACTGGCGGCTGCGTCCCTGCCTCTCTCCCTGCCCTGGATCTTTCTCATCTCCCGGCTGCGCTCTGCTTTTCCTGAACGCCCCCACCGTGGTTCTTTCTCTTCTCTCCTTGTGCTGAAATGCGCGTGACGTGAGGTTGCGTCCTAACTTCTCAGGCGCAGAGCTGGGTGACACTGGGCGCGTGCATGTTGTTGTGCGGCTGCCCCGCCTTCGTCCCCAGGACTCCGGCTTGTAAAGCTGACAGTCCCTGCCCTGCCCCAGGAGGCAC